GATCAGGTTTTAAGAATTAGTGTGGTAATAAAAAATAATTAAAGACTAAAATATCAGCCACCTCTAATCAATATTTGTGATATAAGGGGAATTACAAATTTAAAATTAACCTCCAACACAACAGCAAAATAATAAAGACAGCTCTAATCAATATTTAATATTTGTGAAATGGAATTAGAAATTAGGGAAAAAAAAAAAATCAAACTTATCAGCAATAACTCCGCCATCTTCATATTTTTTTTCCTACGTGTCTGATCAGGTTTTAAGAATTAGTATGGTAATAAAAAAAAAAATTGAAGACTAAAATATCAGCCACCTCTAATCAATATTTGTGATATAAGGGGAATTACAAATTTAAAATTAACCTCCAGCACAACAGCAAAATAATAAAGACAGCTCTAATCAATATTTAATATTTGTGAAATGGAATTAGAAATTAGGGGAAAAAAAAATCAAACTTATCAGCAATATCTCCGCCATCTTCATATTTTATTTCCTACATTCATTAAAAGCAATAAAGTGGCAGTAATAAAAAAAAAAAAAAGATCGCTGGCAGAAAAATAAATGTTATAATCTAGTTGTTTTGTTGAAGCACAGATGATGTAAGATTCATTAAGGTACACATAAACTATATCATATCTTTGAAAATAATAACCTTTCATATGGTTACAAAACATTAATGATCTCCTTAATGTTGGCAATATCTTATTATATTTTGAAAATATATGTCAGTCACTTGTAGAAGTTCATTGTGTTAATGAAAAGCGGTGCTTCAAATGAAGTTAATCCGTCTCGTCTCTATTGATTATGCTGTTTCATCTAGAGCACAATGCTTATTCATTTTAGTAAGCTTGTAATGAAGAACATTACAGTTCATTTTTCAACTGGTTGCTATGACAATTGAGATACACCAAGCTTTCTAATTTGTCTTGCTCTATACTGAATTTGCAGACAATTGAAATTTCTTTAAAAAAATCCACCATAATCACTTCAACTTATAAGTAATATAAAAATGGGCAGGTCACATCAGCCACAGAATTGATAAAGGATGGAGCACAACATCGACAGTTTGGACACCTATGGTCAGACAAAGAGCCCAATCACACTTATTAGGCCGGCCTAGGGCCGGCCCAGGGTCGCCTTAAATTACGGCTGACTCAACTTCATTTCCGTTCACAGTTATTGTTTTAAGTTGTTTTAAGCCGGCCCAGGGCCGCCTTACTGACGTTCACACTTCTTCTTTTGGACCTGGTCGATGAATTGCAGGACAGGAAGTTGAGGCGATCGCATTTTGATGGCGGAAAGGTAAATCACAACCTAGCATAAACACATGGAATTCGCGCAAAACATGAACCTAATTTCTCTGTGCAAGCCAAACTCGCGATTTCGAAAGTCCATACCTGTATATTGTAAACTGTCTATATAGGCCAATATTGCTGTCAATGTTTGGCCACAGACCGGAGACACTGATTGTGAATAAGTAGCATCGAGATCTATCTATTTGGCAATAATAATTATTTTCATATTAGGTTCATTCACAAACAATTTTTGACACTTTTTATAACCAGCTTCGCTCATAACAAAAACAAACGATTATGTTTTTTTCTGTCCTCGGGGTCACGTGAGTAGCTTTACGAACGTCGACACAAAATGCATGTGGTTGGTGAGGATGACGTTCACAGAAAAATGATACCGCTATACAGTGTTATAATTTTAGAATATAATCTTGTTAAATTAATGTGTGCTATACAAAAATGGGGTTTCTTGAGCTTGTAATAGGCCAATATGTTTTTTATCTACTGGAATTCTTTAACTGTAGAAAAGAAAGTCATCATCTGTCAAACTGCCCATGCGTAAGCTTTGTATCACGTGGTATTCCCCATGCCTACAACTTGGTTTGTGATGATGCTTATGCTTGGCACGAAGGCTGTGAGTAATAATTAGTTAGGCATGGAGACCTTATGTAAAAATTTTTATTCAAAAACAATAGTTCAACTAAATACAAATTACTTTACAGTTTCCTTAACAATTTTATTTCTCAATGGTGTCTTTTCGCGCAAGTCAGTTCGAATGAATGTTGTGGTTAGATAAGATGTCAAAATCGAGCAATCAGAGCGAACTTGGGCCGGCTGAGGTTCGGCTTACGTTCAGATATAAAGTTGGGTCAGCCCTGGGCCCGCATTGCGGGACCTGAGCCAACTTAAAAGTCGGATTAACTTTAGGTCGGCTCAGGGACGGTTTAACATTTATTGATTGTTCACACTTAAAAATTGCCGACCCTGAGGCGGCCCTCAAGTGTGATTGGGCTCAAAGAAGCAGAGGACGGTCGCAAGACAACAAAATGAACAAGACCTCTAAATGTGGCAGGCTAAGGATTTTACATGCAGTGTACAAGCCATGGCTGGAAATATTAAGTCATAATTGACTCTTAATTCAATTGCATCCCATGCGCTAATTATCTAATAATGCATTTTATACTTTGATCTTTATCCATTCAATGTAATGTAAGATACTACTTTTTTGATGTAGTGCAATTTTACTTACAATAAATTTGAATAAAATTTAAAACCAAATCACTAGAGCTTTCAATGGTCAGTCTTAAATGACCTGATTATGTTGTCTTTAAATTCCAATCAAAGAGAGTACCCACTTGTTATGATGTCTACCAAATTTCACACATCTTTAGCTAATTATCAGATATAAATTTCAAATACACTTCATATCAAAATGCACTTTAATTTCCTTTTCAGATGGTGAAAGATTGAGTAGTGGATAAAGTCATCAAATATTATGATTCTAATACTGTAATTTCTTCGGTGCACACTATCCAAGGGCTGGCTATATGTGTATATCAAAACTGGAATTTCTATAAGATCATTATATTAATCTCAACTGATATTTTGAAATTAATTTTGGAAAGCAAAAGGGGGCAAAGATTAATAATACATTACATCTTGATATAATTATGTTTGTTTTTTGCATATTAAAAAAGCTGAGTATTAACACTTTTTTTGAGATATTGTTGATAAATTCATTATATATTCAGGCCATACGACTAAAAAATTCCAGGAAAGGAATGAAATTATCACTATTGTATGTTGCAATTGTATCGCATCTTTAATTAAAACCAGACTCGAACACTCAATTATAAGAGGTAGTGCAATATTCAGGCCATACACAGACTGACATACTTATATTTTTAATAGTATATCATTTTTATACCATGTACGTTGTTCCTATGATTTTACACAAATCCAAGGTAACAATATCTATTTTCTTCTTTCTTTTATGCACATTTTTTTTAATGCATTAATTAGAAATTTGTTGTACCCTGGTTGAATATCTTCTAAAAGTATATTTTTAGCTCAAGATTCATTTTTTGTAGACTCTATTATAAAGCACAGGATGTATATATGCTGATGACAACTAAATTTAAAATGAAAAAAGAAAATATCTAACTTCTATGGACACTATTATTATTTAAAAAAATAACAGAATCAGATATTTAATAACATTTCTCTTAAGTCTTATTGTAATAAATTACCATTCCTTGCCTGATTTTAACATATTTAATACATAGAACATTCTAGAATAACATTTAATGACAAAATAAACAGTGTAAACCACATTGGTAATTATAGAAACACATGACACCATGTAGAATCCAAGAGTAATATTTGGAAGCTTCTGGAATCTTGGGTACTAATGTATAGAGGCAAATAAGCCTATTGGTTAATTATGATGTAATGTGACCAATGCTGTAGTATTCGGAAAGACTGGAAGAATTTCAGAGATTATCATGTTTGGTTGAGTCTGTCCACTTATACTATTCTACAATGTAAAAACACCTGCAAAATGATCAATAGATAAACATTGTCGGCATGGTAACAAAAAGCACTTTTCCGATCTTATGCATTAACAACACATTTAATGTGGTGCAGAAATTCTTAACGATGTTTAATGGTTATTACTCGCTAGGGTATTTGTATACTGCGCTCAAGATCCTACTTAATAATTCTTAATGTCATATAAGGTACTACGATTGGTTTAATAGCATTTTCATTATTGTTAAGTACATGCTATAGCAAGAGTGTAGATTCAATATCATATAAGTGAATGCGTATCCATATTGAATTTAAGTATTATGTGGCTTTTACAAGGGATAGAAAGAACTCATCTTCTATGATTACAAAGTTCAGGAAAGTGGGAACCACGATCTTCAGAAGTTATGGAGTTGAGGAATTGGGAACTATAATCTTACAGTTTAATGGACCACTGGAGTATTCAGGGGAGTGGGACCCATTATCATATAGGATTAGAGAGCTCTTGAAAAGAAAAAGGAAATCATGAATGATGATCTATAATCAGAGAACTATAAGGAAAGTGGGAACAGACCTTCTGAGATTGGAGAAAGTGTATGAAAATAATTTGCAATGTTTGAATTTTGTTTTCTTTGGTAGTATGTTTTGTATTCAGGTGCATCCTCCACTTGTTTCTTGTATTATTTATGTTAATATTTACAGTCAGTGAATGTTGTAGGTATTTGTAATTTAAGTGATTGTTAAGAACCTCAAACTGATTGGATAGGCCTATTAAGAATACAGAAATGTTTCTATTTAGTCCTACCCGAAATTTGAAAATAATTAAAATAATATGTGAAATGGAAATCTAACTCAACCTCTACTGCAGTGCAAAAGAAAAATAACAATATATTTATTATGCAACTAATTTGTCCGTTATATTAGCCAAGAAATCTTACTTATGGAGTTCTACTCCATCATAAACTGTTCAAATTTAAAATTATTGCTTAAGATTATTTGCTCAGTACTAAGTCTATCTTTAAGTACTATCATGGTTTATATGGCTAAGTATCATCATATAAAAATAGATGAATTAATGTATACACAGATGAGTGGTAATAATATCATGAAGAGGGTTAAGTGATAACAAGACAGCTGTGAAATGACGCTATTCATAATTGTAGAAAAGGTTGAGCTTACCACGCTAAGAGGACTTGGTATCGCCGAGTCAAGGTTCATCAATGAATCATCAAAATCATTACTGACGGGTATGCTCTCCACATTGCTACTACCTGCACCTCCTTTGAGTTTCTTTACGCCGCTTTCTCTCTGTAATGAATCATAAAAATGTAGAATGTTGGTAGGGACTACGGGTATAATGAATGCTCAAAATATGATACATTCGTATATAAATATATAAATATGTACTATATATTTTATATATTCTTACAAATGTTTAAAAGTATGTATATATATACATATATATATACATATATATATATACATACATACATACATACACAAGTATATATATAACACACACATAACACATAAATTATTTGTGCATTCTCATTTATTGCATTTTAAGAAATGCCAACGTCACTTTGGCGCAGAACATTTCATTTTGTCATGGATATTAGTGTTTCATAAATGCCTGTCGATCGATTTATGTCACAATACATCTGAACATGAAACAACTTAATCAATTGAAGCCTATTTTTATATATCAATAATTTTGTAATTAAAGTATATAGTCAGCTAACAATAAAATACATGGAAAATATTGTATAAATTTTTAACTGTAATAACAAGAGGTCAGAGAAGGTATTTGTACAAAGTTTAAATGGCAGCAATTTTAATGAATTGGAAAGTAATCACAATTCCTATAATTATGCAATATGGGTAAAATGATAATTACAAATTGCTACAGCAAAATGTCTTATGTCAACAATTCACATCAAAAGCACTACGCCCTAATGACAGCATTATTCTACAAACTTTCATCTACATAAAATGAAAATGTATAACCCGTGACAAAGCAAATTGCTACAGCAAAATGTCTTATGTCAACAATCCACATCAAAAGCACTACGCCCTAATGACAGCATTATTCTACAAACTTTCATCTACATAAAATGAAAATGTATAACCCGTGACAAAGCTATCGACTACAATAGTGGTGACTTGTGGAATCAACTGTAATAGTGCTCTTTCTGTATTTGTTATTTCTTATATAGACCAGGGGTGGGCATGAAAATCAGTTTTGGGTGGGGGGAGGTTGCCCTAAACAAATTTTTTATTTAACATTGAGGGCTGAACGCAAACTTAGACCACCTGGATAAATCCACCTCTATTCAACACATCCGTACTCTGCTTTTTGGGAACGTCTGGTGGACTAGTTGAACTGCCTGACAATTACTTACAATTACCATTTTTTTCTTGTTTTTTTTACGTTGTTTCTTGATATTTTTTTGTTTGTATTGTTCCTGTCTTTGGTACCCCTGCTTGTTCTCGCCCCACACCGTATCTTACTCCTCCTCGTCATGACAGGAATGAGAAAGATACTATCCTCTATGCAGTTAGGAAAACAACGTATTGTATAAACAAAATGGTGACGTAATTCCCGTCACGAAAACCGATTTTAAAAAAATCAATAATGCAGTTGCAATGCGAGCAGGCTGTCTGGTACTCATTAAAAAATCGATTATTTTGTGTTTATCAGTAGAAACACACCCTTAAAGAACATTCTTCACGATCTAATAGTGTTATAAAATTATCATATACAAAATTGTGAAGCATTCCAATATGTTTTAGGTTTACAAGGTATACTTGAAAATGATAATGTAGCCTGTAATGTAAGTAATAAATTAGGTCTAATATTTTCTAATACTAACATTATTGACAGTTCACAAAATTGGTCTATACTATTGTTTAAAGAAGCGTTTGCTATATACGTAGGCTACACCCATTGCTTAACAATGGGCTGAAAGCTTCAAAGGAGCTTTCTTTGTTCTTGTAGGTAGCTTTGATCAGTTAGGGTAAGAATGCTTTGATCTTTAGTTTATTCATAACTATGTCACCTACTAAAGATCAAAACATTCTTACCCTCTTATCAAAGCTACCTACAAGAACAAAGAAAGCTCCTTTGAAGCTTTCAGCCCATTGTTAAGCAATGGGTGTAGCCTACGTATAGCAAATGCTCCTTTAAACAATAGTATAGACCAATTTTGCAAATAATAATAATAATAATAATAATAATAATAATAATAATAATGTTAGTACAGTATTAGAAAATATTAGACCTAATTTATTACTTACATTACAGGCTACATTATCATTTTCAAGTATACCTTGTAAACCTAAAACATATTGGAGTGCCTCACAATTTTGTATATGATCATTTATAAACACTATCAGATCGTGAAAAATGTTCTTTAAGTCTAATTATTAAGCATCTATCTGTCTTACCAATATAATCACTATTGCAACCTGGGCATTTAAAATAATAAACAGAGCTCCTATATTTCTTAGGGGTTTGATCTTTAGTAGATATAAAATGAGAGACATTTTTGTTGTAGGTAGCTTTTATCAGTAGGGTTAGAATGCTTTGATCTTTAGTTTATTCATAACTATGTCACCTACTAGGGGTAATGTTTTGATTGGTCAAACACTTTTGGTACTTGTGCATATAAGCTTGCAAATACGGATAATTTTTCATTTATGATGATGACATAAAATAATGTCAAAATATTGAATCCCGACACGATGGCGTGTATTTCGATACTTGAAGTATGTATTATACTATCTTATTATTATTATTATAAAATATTGATTTTTTTTTTCATTTTCTAACAAACATTACAAGTTCCCTTTTTGAGTTGAGCAACAAAATGTTGATTGACATCTGTATACACGCATCTGTAAAGCTTCCTTGAAACCCACCCTGGAGCACAAAGAAAAAATAATGGAAACATCTCCCTTTGTGAGTTCTGTATTTAGGCATATGGGGGAGGCAGGCACTATTTATGGAGTGACGCTCTAGTTCTCTTAATGCTAACCATGTACAGTAAGTGTAACTGATTGACTTACAGTAACATAACCACATGTATACTCCATCTAATTTAAAGGAAAAGGTACTTAATTAGGCCATTTTTTAAAACAAATTTCTCTGAAGGTTAACTAAGGATCTACAGTACGCTGTAGTTAATGTTATAGGTTGTAAAAACTGTATTGAATAAACAAAATTTTTCGAATAAAAAAATCTTTTGCTTGACATTAGGAATTAGTCATTTGTGAAACAAAATTATAGGCTATGTCAAGTGTTATATTGAACAGTGGTGGGTTTAAGGGGGAGTCCTGTCAGTACAGATCTCCTAATTTTTTCAAAATTATAAAAAAAATGGAGAAAACAGAAATTTTTTTTATTTAACTTTTAATCTCAGAGTGCCGTTTCCGGCCATCTAGAGGTGCCATAATCATAATTTTTTTTATTGTGGGCTGAGGTGGGTGGACATATCATTTGCGCAAGACCCTCCCTGGGTCTCGTCTATTTCAAATTCCTGGACCCGCCACAGTTAGAATATCATTTTTTTCGTCGGGGAATACCCATATCAAGGATATCTCTCATGATGGCAGATTTAATGTGGGGGTGGGGGAGGGGACTAAATCATTCAAAAATTTTTTTAAATGGAGATAAAGAAAATTATATTCAAATTTTATGCCTGGAAGTGCAATTTCTGGCCATCTAAACGTGCCATAATCACAAATTTCTTACCTCAGCCCACCATGGTTGGTTAGTATAGATCCTCTATCTGTGAAAGTACCCCCCACTCTGGGCCCCCCCTCTATTTCGAATTCTTGGATCCGCCACTGGAAATTACAACAATTATGAAGTCATATTACAGTAGCTTGATGCCTATAAATGACTAATAAAATTCACCAAACTTCGTCAAATATCTGTAGCTTCTGGTCCCCCCTCCCCGGGCCCTTGGGGCCCCCCAGCCTAGATGCTTGCTTCTTCATGTGCGCATGGGCCATATTGCACACAGGACCAATGGCTTAAACATCTCATCCGAAAGACAGTGCGCTGTTGAAACTTGCATTTCAGTCCTCTAGCTGAAACACAAAAGTAGCGATGGGATTTGAACCAGGGACTAAGCAAATTCCACGGTTCAGTGCACACACAATGGCTACCACCAGTTTAGCCAACTGAGCTAAGCGGCTCTCTAAGCTGCAACCGCGGTGGCAGCACCGGCTGCGGCAACAACAATGGCAGTAGCGGCGGCAGCAGTTACAACAACAGAGGTGTCAGCAGCAGCCGCAACAACAACAGTAGTGGGGCAGTAGCAGCTATTGTTGTAGTTTACCATAATTTTGAAAAGTGTTATGAAAAATTTGAAGGAAAGGATCAGGACACACGTTGCTGGCCACACCCTCATATTCAAATTTTTTTTACATCTTAAAAACTAATATTCTGGTATCATTGAGCCAATGGTAATATCATTGAAACTGGTGGCCCTCTATAATTATTTTGAGTTACAAACTGACTGATTTTTTAAATGCTTTGAATAGATGAGCATTTTTTTTTTTAAGGTAGTTCAGGAAATAATATTCTAACATGACATGACAATTCACTTTCCCCATGCAGTTTTGGACAGTCACAGGACATACGCCCTGTCAGCCAAGCATTCATAATTGTCAACCACATAATAATTAACTAATAAATTTACCAAAAAGTAGATTATGTTGAATGAATCTAAAGTAATAAAAGTCATTCAACTAATTTTATACACGTCTGACTGCATCAGTGATGATCAGCGTATTACTTATACTGGGCATTTTCACTTTTTAATTTGAATTCAAATATCAGACATACAAATAAGACAGGCTAGGAAAGAGCAAAGGTGGTGAATACATATATGCAAAGTCAGTCTACCTTTAATAATTAAACACCAAGAGAATAAAACATACAAATCAAGTAAATTAGAGGGACTAAACACAAATAATTTTCATTCTACATTTATATGGAAGTGACAACAAGCAATTTTTACATCAAAATTAAATTACATTTCAGATAGATTTAAGATACACCAGGGTAAGTTGTTCCTAAGTTGCATAAAGTCATCTACGTTGACTCTTTGTTAACGTTATATTATTTTCCCTTCCATTTTTTTCCCCTATACATTTAATAATAAATATTGCTATATCTTGAACAAATCAAAGTTGAATGAAATCACATTCAATTTTAATCTACATGCCAATGCCAAATTGATGTTATCAATTGAATTTCTAATCAGAAAGTCAGAGACCTAATCAGAAAGTCAGAGTCAGCAAAAATACATTGTGGATTTTGTATCATTCTAATGTTGCTTCTTTATTAATTTAAGTAAGTATATGAAATATAATATCTATTTATTCTATCATATTTCAAATCAAAGCAATCTGAAATTTTTGAGCATAAAATAAGTTGCAAGGATGATGTGTGCCTACCTTAGCTGGCAACTTCTCCTGTTTCCTCTTAGAATCTGAGTGCAAAATAAAAGAAATATCATTTTACATAATAATATGTTAGACTTTTATAGCTCTTCACAGGTAAAGTGCCTTGCCTAAGGACACAAGTGAAATGCACAGTGAGGGATTGAACCTCCGACCTCAAAGTTCAGAAGCAGAACCGCAACTAATGCGCCAAACCACTCCTACCGCATCAAATAAGGTAGTTTCATATATTTCCAATTAGAATTCAGTTGATACTTAGCAGTAGTTGTTGCTAACTTTTTTTGCTAGATGGGGTACAAAAAAATTAAGAAATAGCTTTCTTGTAGATTGGTGGAGTGGTTAAGGCATGGGCATAAACTATAGCCATGGCGTAAGCGCTGGTTTGAGTGGCATGCTCTGGTGGTGGAACAAATCTTCTGAAGAAATAGCTTCCTTGTTGATTGGTGGAGTGTTTAAGGTATGGGCACCGCAACCTATAGCCATGGCGTAAGCGCTGGTTCGAGTGGCATGCTCTGGCGATGGAACAAATCTTCTGAAGAAATAGCTTCCTTGTTGATTGGTGGAGTGGTTAAGGAATGGGCACCGCAACCTATAGCCATGACATAGGCGCTGCTTCGACCGAGTGGCATGCTCTGGTGGTGGAACAAATCTTCTTGGAGAAGAACTTCAAATTGTAGGCCCAGTGTACATAATTGCCCCTTGTGCACTTAAAGGACCCAGTACATATTTTGTGATGAGTAGGGAGATACACTGGTGTATTTGTCCACACAGCCCCTGCAGTGGACAGTACGGAAGGGGCAAGCACCAGTTTACCGAGTATCGGCACGGACATGAAGAGACCCTTAGGGCCAAAGAATTTTTCTAAATGAGCTACAGCGGAGAGCCTACCTGTAGGTACAACACTTTTTAGGAAGCTAACTAAAGTTGTCTTACATGTTTTTTCAATGTCTTCATCATCCAGTAGAAAGGAAACAACTTCTTTTGGTTTTAATTGATCTGGTCTAAAATTTCCACCAGATATCACCATACGCTGGATCTGAATAATACAAGTTATATAAATCATAAAAATTAATAAGATGAAATAATGTTGATATAGTCAAAAGAAAATTGTAATAGCAGACAAAAAAAGTAGCATTCATTTAATTTATATCATCATTAAGAAAAAAGAATACAAGAACAAGTGGAAAAACAAAGGCAAACAAAACAACACACAAATATACAAAAAGTAGTGACAAACATATGAATTCAAAATAGATTTTTTTTTTGAAAACATGTATGATAAAAAATGAAAATTAAAGCAATAACAAAAAGAAATCATTTTAAAATGTTGGATTGCTTAAAACATGCACTACTTGGTGAGCATAAAAAAACATTTCAGTCATTTTAATATATCATTAAAATTCAAGACTAATTCGTCAAATTAACAGCTATTGATTTCCATCGCCTAGAAAAATGAAGTATTTCATAAACAACATAAAAGCTATGATAGACGAAGACTATGTTTAATATTTATGGCCTTTATGGTCGGTCCCAAAACCAACTACCATCATCAATGACATGGTTGCACACCTGCAATCTGTTTGGTTGATACAATTGTTACCACTGGGCCAAAATGAAGGTGTATGTGTATTAAATATATTAAAGACTGAAAGAAGAAGATTTTGGGTCAATCAGGCTTGGGCCACACAAGTAATTTTTTTGACTTTAGGGATCTTAAAAATTTAATGTGCAATTTGCTTTCAAATTACTAGTGTGGGGAAAAATGTTTGAAAGGGGGATTTACATATTAGTATTGTAATTTTTTAAAGAAGTGTTTTAAGCTTAGCACATGTTACTCTGTCAAGGAAGAGTGCTTAAATGTTTTGTTGGTTTAAAATGAGACACTTTTTTCTTAAATACATTAGCATGCTCGTTGCTATGGTTTAAGTTTATTTCATTGCCTTCATATAATCTGATATTGAATTACTGGATATTTCTTGTATGTGAATTTATTTTTGTATTGCAATATAAAATTTGCAGCAGTATTAACATTTCACACACAAGACTTAGCCTGGCCTACTTGTCTCAATCAATACTTAATTTCATAGCCATTTGAATACATAAGGTGACAAGAAGTCAACAAGAATCACCATAGGGACACGAAACAAATTAAATAATCCGCCGTTTCTAAACACACATAATTAAGACATTAGTCGCGCCTAACACGCATATTTCTAAGGTTTGCATTTGTCGAATTGCTGTGCACTAAATCTCTTTATCCATCTCCACGGATTTAATCAATTATTTTATATTAAAACTTTTAATGTTAACCTACAAAATAAAATTCTGTGCAATTATATTACATTTTTTTAAAAGAATTTTGACTGTTTTCTTCATCACTGGCAAATAAAAGACTGAATTATAACTACAACGTATAATTGGAAATTCATTTGTGTTTTGATTATTTTACATTATTATTATTATTCATTATATTTACTTATTTTAAGTTCAGGATATTAAAAAGTTCAAAAGATATATAGTACTTATACTATGTAGAAGGTTTATTGAGTGCAGTACAACTAATTTTGTGTTGCTTGATAATTCACTGGCATTACTGGCCAGACAACAAATATCACATGTTATTTGTTCTTCATCAAGTAATTTGGGAAAGATGGCCATACAGAGGCAGCAACAATCCACACTCAATAATCTCACTTCAGCAAGGCTTATAAACAGGAAATAAATAATACAACTCTCATAATACGTACATGGTCAGCTATTATTACAGAATGTAATATTTTGATATAAATAATGCAATAAAGAAATCAAATTTCAACCCAAAAATGTTTGGACAATAAAACGTCCACGTGATGTCGTCAATTTAAAATTTTCCCTAAATCAAAAACTTGGATTTGAGTTGGACTTCTTGGATGTGAAAACACATGGGTACTAACAAACATCCTACAGAGCTAAACTCCTTTAAGAATGCTAAGAATGAAGAGAGGAAAAACTTAGCAGCAATGACCAATTTTTGTCAACATGAAAAGTTTGAATAAAAGAAAGTTGGCTGCCAAAATTTTAGGAAATTGCCTAATGAGAATCTATAAATACATATAGATACCTATCTATGTATATGTTTTGATGTGTTTTCTACTGCAGTGTCGCAACAGGAGACAACACAAAATTGAGATTTTGGAAGCAAACATCCAAATTACATTAAACAAAGGACTGACAATTAAATATGGGAAAACACAAACCAAATAACAACAAATGTTACGAGTATATAAACTACAGTTTGGTTATAATGAAAACAACAGGTTTAGGAACTTGCATAATAAAATATAAACTTACTTCACTTTTTTCTTTTGCTCTTTGTAGTATCTTTTCCTCAATTGTACCCTTGCATATTAGTCTGTAGACTGTCACTTGTTTAGTCTGTCCTAGGCGATGTGCCCTGTCCATAGCTTGCTGGTCTACTGTAGGATTCCAGTCACTATCATAGAAGATGACAGTGTCAGCAGCAGTAAGGTTGATTCCAAGGCCGCCTGCCCTCGTACTCAGTAGAAATACAAATATATCAGACCTAAATTGTTTTAAAAATAATAATAATAATGTATTTAAAATGGATTATCTTAGAATTCCAGTACTTATATATTAAGATTGGTGCATACTTACAAAGTGGTTGAGTGGTCTTCTTCATGTTTCCACATCATGTTATAATTGTACCATTTATACATCTAAACAATCTTTCACATGTTTCCTATTCTGGCAGTGTTTTGAAGTCAACCATACTGAAAGGTTGGTCAATGATGGCCAGATATTCTCAAGGAAAGAATGGCTAAAGCAACAAGTAACAAGTATAGGCCTATCTGACTTGTTACATAACTATTATTTAGGCCATCTGAAATCATTTGATAGGAGTATTCAAGTGAGGGAAAACATTGATGCAATTTGGAAATTTGTACTATTCATTTGTAGTCATCTTCACAATGTTATTCAAAAATAAAATTTACTTCTATTAAAAACACTGCAGCACTTTTTATAGATATCTTAGTTACTAATACATATTTCACATCAAAACATTGAAGTATTTCATATTACAATTGAATCACACACAAGCACGTAAATATTTCATATCATAAGAATTCACTCACAAGTACATAAGTATCTTGTATCACAGAAATTCACACTTAAGTTAATAAATTTCATATCACAATTTACTTACAAGTACATAATTAAATAATTTCACAACAATTCATACACAAGTACACAGGAATTATATATCACACATAAGTACATAGGAATTTCATATCACACACGAGTACATAGGTATTTCACACGATCACAACAATCTTCTCAGTTTTGTCTCCAAAAAGAATAATTGTCACATACTGTAGCAAGTGACCCTTGTGTATACTATTCGCATGTCAACATGTGACAGGGGGATTAATTGGGTTACACATCAATGTTAATTGAATGCTTCCTCTGGCCTCACACTTCAGGTTCTAAGTTCCAACTATGAAACAAGTGACAGATAAATTTGATGACTTCATTTAGGGTAATGATCTTCCGATATACAAGGTCGTTCTCACCTTCACATTTTCAGCCATATTATATTCCATATTTGTGTCAGGGCAGTTGTCATACATTCCATAATTAGTTTTAAAATAATTCTTTTATCATGTAATTATTATGGATTCATTAAAAGAATAATAGAAATATTAAACCAACTAAATATATGAGAACTCACTTAAAAACACAAATTAAGTTAAATATACTAAAAAGGAAAATAAATAATTTGAAAACAAAATTACGATAAAAAAAAAATATCACATGAAAATTAATAACTGATCATAATATAACACGTAATTAAGGTACAAAAGAATTAAGTATTTATTGTCTTTCTCCACTCAACAATGGGTGCCTGGTAGTATGTGAATGGTATGGAACAACAATATTCCGACACAAAAAAAATCACTGAGCTAAAAATATTAATTTGCCAATCCAAACAAGGTTATTTTGATTGCCAATCCCTATATTGTGGTCAGAAACCACAATTTTGGGTTATCCTAAACCATAAAATATTCCCCCATGTACCCCACCAAGTATTTTTTGCGGCCCTTGATGGCCCTCGGTTTTATCCCCCTCCTGGATTTCTTGGGCCGCTTTCGGCAAATTTCTTGAGTCAACACTGTAAAACTGCACAAAAAAAAAAAAAATACCCTTTATAAAGCGGATAACATTACGCTGACTGACAGCATATCCAATGACTAAGCATAATAATTAAAGTGCCTTACATCCCAAAATCGGGGTAATTATTATTGTATCCTCAAAATGCAGTGTTTTCTGATAATACTTATTGTATATTAATAGTAGAAGCTAAAAACACATATGATACAAATTTGGCTTTCACTATTAGGATTAATGAAAAAAACAAATGGGAAAGTAGGCTGTTGCCAAATCACAATTTAGTCTCTGAAGTACATAAACAGATATATAATGCCTTACAGCTGAATACAATATGGAACTTAGCAAAACAATAAAATGTGCACTACACTGTTGATCAAACATATGAAATATAATGTATTAAAATCACAAAAATAAAGACACAATATTTGCAACTGCTGTGTAATAAAATATTATGACAGACATATGTATATGATGTGGCCCAACAGAGATTTAATTGTACATGTGTTTTGTATTAGATATGCTCTACACAACTGGCACTAAACCATATCCACAGTTAAATCATGTCCACACTCATTAACCATGTCTACACAGTCAAATCACGTCCACACAGATTAATTAAACACCAAAACACAAAAAAAGCCCACCTGCTTTGGAAGTCTGCAACCATGTCCCTTCGGTCTGAAATCTTAGAAGATCCGTCCAATCGCATATAGGTATGTTTCCGATGCCACATGTACTCCTTAAAGATTCAAGAGTTACGCATGAGTGAACACCAAATCTTACATTTCCTTCATATCTTTCTTCAACTACTATTTCTATACTGACTATATGCCTATAGTCAAGATACCTTTGTACTAATTTATGTGTAATATAATGTCAGAATTAATGTTGGTGTCTTGTACAATGAAAATTGTAGTTACATTAATTTTAATTGATACATTTCTATAATAAATTCTATGGTTGATTTCTGTCATCAATTGAAAGAACTAACGATCCAATGCCCAGAAACTTTCAAGGTTGTTCAATGGGGCCCCAATTGGCCTGACCATGTAATTTATGGGAATCCCAAAACCGCAAGAACCTCTTGGCAGAAATGACTTCTAACCCAAACATACCTAACCACAAATAACTAAAATATTATTAGATTAATAAAAACAATTATGAAGAGTTTTAGGTTTATCATTACTTACAATTTCTAGTTATTAAATAAATAATTATATCCTTTTTGTGGCATTTTACAAGTTGATGACAAACAGTCAGAACATCATTCATCCCAATTAAACAATTTATTAATTATAAAAAAATAACTGCAAGTCACATGACCTTGGAAAAGTGCAGTGTTAAAAAATAAAAAAAAATAAAATAAAAATCTACTGCCTCTATATATTGATTCATTATATCATTATTATTAGTAGTATTAAAATATTTTCTTTTTAATTACATTTCTCAGAAATACATAATACTATGATAAAATATTAATTATACAAAAAAATATTCAGCTGTGACCAATCTATTAAATTTCAATCTTCAACTAACCTAATCGAAAATTGATTGTAATCATGTATTATAAAATATAAAAAAAAGATAATTGAAATAAAAGCAATAACAATATTAATGACGACAAAATAATAAACTGACGAACATTTATAAGATGAAATGAAAATTGTAAATATAGCAATTAAAATTTCAAATTTAATTTCCTTTACAAATATCTATGAATTGAATCTAGAATCCCCTCTATGAATAGATGGTACAAAATACATATTTTTACATTGAAATAAACAATTATATTAAGGATCAAATATACAAATTGAGTAGGTTTAATTGTAAAATAATCAGCAAACTAAGTTTCAAATGTGAATCTGAAAATAATTGAATGAGGGTTGGGAAGTGATAGCGCCCCCATGAAGCACATAATCATAAGGTTCTGACCTGCAGGAGATCTATCATTCTTGTCATCTGTGAGTATATCAACACACGGTGTCCCTGTTGCTTCAGTTTGCTCAGCAACTTGTCCAGAACCTGTAACTTCCCCGAGTCACATACCATTGACTCTTTATCTGTAAAAATATAATGTGTATTAACATAATTAAAGGAATGGAAAACAGGAAAAAACAAATTTATTAAAAATTATTATGTAATAAAAATCATTATTATTATTATTATGTACTATTTTGATTACCACAGACAGTGGGCGGCGCCACCCGGCCTTGGGAGTTTTCCACCCATTCTAAAGCTAATTTCATGGCCTTCCGCCCACCTTTATTAACACCCTTGACCATCCTTCAAATCCACTCTTATTTAGAGCTTACCAATGCTATCATCCACCCACCATTAAAAAGTCTACCACCCACTCTTACTTTTCTACAGCTATAATAATGCCATAATATTAACAATTTTTATAGTTATTATGTAAAAGCAACACATACCACAATAGACTTTTTATCAGTATTCTCCCCAAGCCCTTGAAGCATCATGGTACCATGATGATTGGCACTTCCCCCATGATGCTTGACAGTTAGCCATGATGCTTGCAACATCTTAAAAGGATGCTTTTATCAGGGAACAGTTAAATTATTTAACTGTTCCCTGCTTCTATATAGTTTTAAAGTGCAATTTAGGACATTTCAATGCTTCCTAATTATTAAAAATACCTTGTGTCAGACCCAACTATGGTGGACTTAACACTTACCATGACGCTTGCCAATGATGCTAGGGAGAAAACTGTTTTATCATTAACTTTTTTTAAATATGACTGGTATGACCTTTATATTGTTTTTAAAATCTTAAGAATACAAGTTATATAACACTTTTGCATGCATTTGTGCAAAATATTCCTTAGCTTGAGAAAAAATAATGATTTCTTTAGAAATCATGATTTTGTTCTAAAATGAAAATGATTGTTTGCTATATATGGCTTTCACATTTTACAAGACGTTACTTGATTGTTTGCTGTTTATGGCTTGCTGCATCTTAGCAGCAAATTCAATTTGGTTTTGGTTCTCAAGAGAAAATACTTCAGGATGGCAGGTAGATATTAGTTACTTCTTGTATTAATTTATTCCCTGTATACAGGTCCACACTTAACCTTGTGTAGCCAGCAAGACTATGTTACAAAAGTGCATAACTTATTACTTTCAATATAACAGCTATAGTTCTCTCATGTTTTTCATTGTTCAAAACACTTATTTTTGTTATGAGTCATCATATTCTGTAGACAAACAAACAAAAATTTTTGATAAAATATCCTTTTGTTCAGAAGTTGTTATATATTTAAGGATGAAAAACTTCAAGATGTATTGTCCCATGCAAAATACAAAAAAGAAAAATCATAAAAAAACAAGTTATGAAATTATTTTGCTTACTTTGAAGTAATATAAAGATTATCAATTTGAACATAGAAATTTGAGTATCAAAAAATGTTTAAAATTACCCAAAATCTGACAGCGAAAAATGATAGAAGCACTTCCACTAATTTAGTCACTAGTGTTTTATTATTTTTATTATCATTATCCAGTACAAAAAAAGGGCACACATTTCTTTTAATTCAAAAATTTCTATGCTCAAATTAATAGGTTACATGTTAAAAATAAGCAAGTTAATTAAAAAAATTGTCATTTGCCATTTTTCACCCGGTGTACTGTCCAATCACCACCAGAAGGACCCCACTGGAAATAAGTTTTCTTCTAGACTTTCGTGGGCTATCCTTGGTGTTTACACCGAATAAATCCAATCCAATCCAATATTGCCACTTTTGGAGTAGGAACTCTCCAGTAATGGCGTCGACAAAGGAGGGCGCCATTCTTCTTGGATCCATCTATACTGTTGTAATAGTGTCAGTCTCCTAGAAATCTGTATTAGATTGTTGTCACTTACTTGTCTTGGGCACATTCCTGTGAATGCCACTGTGATTGATGGTGTATCCTGTAGGCGGCCTTCATAATGAGAAACAAAGCTAGCCACCTGCACAACAAGCCTACCATCATCTGACAATGCAATTCACCTGCTGATATATCGATGAACCGGGTAAATGAAAAACAACCGCCACCGCTTGATGACTCCGAAAATAACGAATGATTGATATAATCCACGGAAAACATACACAGCTTATTAAATAAAATGCTGAGGGGAAAAACAAAAAAACTTACAATAATTTAAAATACATAAATACAATAATAATATATAATAATAATAATTAAAAATTCTTTGCTTGTGTAATGACAAAGACCTAATAATAAGATCAGATTCATATAAGCATGTCACATGATAAATATTTAAGACATATGTATATATTTTGAATTTATCTATTCATGAATAAACTTCTAACTACAAGATTAAGGTGGGAAATTTAAAACACTTACAATAATATAAAATACATAAATACATATTATTAGAAATGCTTTGCTTGTGTAAAACCTGACAAAAAGGTCAGATTTACATAAGCAGGTCACATGATAAATATTTAAAGATGTATTGTCCCTTGCTAATGTCAAAAAATCATAAAAAATAATTTTGAAATAAACTTGCTCATATTGCAATAGCATACAAATTATTAACTTGTGCATAAAAATTATTGAATTTGAAAAATGTGTACCCTGATTTTTAAACCAAAAAAAATTATAATAGAAATGATAAAACACTTCCAGTGAGTAGAAGTGTTTCTATCATTTTTCGCTGTAAACTGATGGGTAGACATTTTTAAAATACACTAATTTCTGTGTCCAAGTTGATAACTTTTAAGTTAATTTCAAAAAATATTTTTATTATTTTTTTGGTATTTAGCTTGGGACAATACATCTTTAAGACATATGTATATATTTTAAATTGATCTATTAATGAATAAACTTAACTACAAGGATTAAGGTGGGAAATTTAAAACAAATACAGTTTCTATACTTTAATCTACTCCTGAAAGTACCTTTCCAGAGGATTCATCAAATTTAATAGCTGACTAATCAGAACATTGCAAAGAATATATGCGTGTCCAATAGACACCAGTGTGGTCCTACAAATGCATGTGTTTATGTTCATTTACACTATTGTTTTGGGGGACCTTAGCAACAATATCCAAGGGGCGGGGCTTAGTGGAAAGGATCATTAGATACTTGCAGTTGCAATGATGCAATGTCCTCAGATTACAACCCTTCACATATAATGGCAATGGCAAAGACAAGCGAAACCAGAGACCATCACCAAATCATAAAAAATTGTTGCTTACGTAGAAACTGGGAAAAAACAACATAGCACAATGTATAGGTATATAAGGGTTTGTTTAGTGCAATAAAATAGATTTGAAAATTTGGCCATTACTCAGAAACACGATTTGCGAGGAGTGACTGGTTAAACTTGTCTTTGCCACATATGTGGATACTTCAATCATATTAGGTATCATAATCACGAGGTATAAACCTTGGTTTATACCTGTTTTTAATCATATGCTTGTTTAAGCGGCCAATCAGGACTAACCTCTTTTTGTCGGAGAAGGATGCATTTTGAAGTGTTTCTCTGTAGATAAGCTTTGGAATGGTGAAAGATTGTAGACTCATGTGAAAAGGTGATCTTGTTTCTCTCCTCTCAAACAGTTCTGGATGATTACAAACCTTGAAGAAAAGCACCATTTTGTATTAGTCATTTACTGATTAGGATGATTCACTTAGGTCAGAGACCAATACATGTCAAATCTATTAGAACATGCCAGTCCTGTATGCCATGTTCTATCTTACTCTCTTGCCATTGTGAGAATTCAGAAGTAGTGAGTTCTTTGATTAAGTATGGGACCTAATTACAGAGGCATGCAACATCATTAGTCTCTCTTCACTTGCAATGAGGTAAAGCTCGATTCCATATAATCACTACACACCATCGCCGACAGCTTTCGGTGCTGATGATTGGTCAGTCGAATTGGGGAGCCTTCTCGATTGCGTCGGGACTTCTATGCAGTACAACGTCTGCACTGAAAATACTGTAGCGACAGTGTATAGATTTTAAGGAAACCAGGTTTTAGAAGCTCCTTGCATTAGACATTCAAACTATGCCACAAGCTTGGCATCTAGGAAGTCTCCTATACCTACCATCACAGAAGTGTTAAATTAACTGTAGGCCTACTGACTTGCAATATTAAACTTTTTGGATTTTAGATTTTGTTGTATGCCTAAAGTTTCTTTTAAAAAAATATTTATATTTGCATTTTTGTTCTACGAATTCTATTGTAGCAGTTGCAGCTTTTACTGCCTGAATGTTGCTTTGAGTATGAAATGAAATATGTGAGGTCTCGCCACAAAATGAGTCTCATGGTTAGAAATTTAAAAATTGAGTTTATATTATATTTCGGTAGATCACATTATAAGCTTTTTTTCTACTAAAAGCAATTCCAGAGATGTTAGCATTTAAAGTTTAGGTGTATAAGAACCACATTTTGAGAAAATCAGCCTCAAAGATAAACTATAATAATATAACTAGAATTACAGAATATGTGCAGACAACACCATTTTTGGCAAGAAAATTCACTTACAAAGTATACAATCATTAAATATAATTATCAAGTTATTCAAAAACATTAAAATCAAAATTAAATTAAAAATGTTGATTTTGGCCTGTTTTGGTGAATATCTCAATATGAATTCACCAACGATGTGTCTCATTTCGTGGTGAGACCTCACATATGACTGAAATATATCTGTATGAATAGGTCTGTGATGGGAATTGTATAGACAATAACACTACCTTTCTAAACTGCATGACAAGATTCATAAGGCTGTTTGTGGTAGTCTGCATACTTGAAGAGGATGTGGAACTGCTGGTGGACTGCAAGAGGTCTTCGATGGAGATCTTTTGTTTGACTGCTTGGTACAGCAACTTCTGCCTTCTTGTCATGTTACAATAAACTAGGATCTCAATCTGCAATTATGAAATAATTGTAATAAAAGTGATGAAGGTTTTCCTAGTTTGTTGAAAAGCTGAGAGCAAAGCTCACACAGTTCACTGTTGTACAAGAGTAGAATCAACTAGCAGAAAGGAATCAACTAAGTATGATAAAACATTTGAGATACTAGTTCACCTTAATTATACCCCTTTTACACTATCAGCGGGACTACGGAATAAACCTGCTTTTATTTCCCTGTTGTTGATACATCAGGTTACAAACACAGGAGTTGGGGGTTAGTGTAAATTGGTGAACGTCAACGAAGCTAAATGTTTGCAGGAGAAGCTTCTCCGGGATAGTCCGGGATAGACACAGTGTAAACAGTCCCGCATTTCACACACACCGGAATTTTAATCATTCACTTTCATTAAAATTATTCAGTTATTTTTTTTGTAATAAAATAACTATTGATATATTTTAAATGTATTTAGTTAAAAATTGCAAACTAATGAGCTAGTTTTTCTCAAAAATGTCCATAGAGGTCAGCGTTCAACACCGGCGTTCAGCGGGTGTTCGTTGTCAAATGTAAATAGGTGTAATCCGAGACAATCCCGCAGTTGCTTCGTTAAATGTAAATGGGTTTTGGCTCCGGTGTCACACCGAAGTTTGTTTTAGCTTGATAGTGTAAAAGTGACTTTATATAACCTATATAAACTCTACAAAAAATTGGCTAATAAGGACACTTATATAATAGGATAAAAGATTGTGTTGTCCAAGGAACTTTAAGAAGTTTGTGAGTGTTGCGTAGCCTGGCTTTAATAGTGATTCAGTTGGCTGTTAGATAATCCTCACATATTTTTAACTGATTTTTGTTTTCTTTGTAATTTAAAATTGCCTTGAAATAAATTACACAAACGGAACAAAAACAAAATTAGAATTAAATTAAACAAATAAAATTAAATCATATGAAAAAAAGTAACAAAGTAAACGATTCTAATAAGGCAAATGAAACACATGAGATAAATTAATTAAAAAAAAAACTCATGGTAACCTTATCAGAAAGTTCATTCTCCACATCTTTCTTCACTCTCCTTAACATGAATGGCTTCAAGATCATATGAAGTCTTGATAGTTGCTCTGAAGTAAAAAGAAAATTGTTAAAGTAAATACAGTTCTCCCTACAAATAAAGGCCACTTTAGGAACTGGGGTTTTCATGGTTTTTAGCAGCTTTGGTCTCTCATTAGAATAATACAAATAAAAGACATTTGTTAATTTGAGACAACAGAAAAATTGTCTTTAATTGGAAAGTGACTTTAATTAGACGGAGACTTGTGTTATCACAACAGGTGGTACTGCAGAGCCTGTGTGTTTAATAATAGATATGAATGTTGCCTTAATAATAAGCATCATTTAAACTTTTTTCTTTCTTCTGACCAAACTTACTTGATATAGCAATGCCATTTATTGTGGGCTCACCTCCTGTATATTATAGTGTTATGTCTCACTAGCCACTATCATCATTTTTTATGCTTTCATGTACATAATGATATGCAAATAAATAGCATAAAGGCCTGTTTATACTTGCAATGATAAGAATAACAATAAAAAGCAATTGTTCATATAGAAAATAATATAAATAAGAAAAGTTTTTACACTAGGACGATTTGATAACAACTTATCGTATATACGATATTATTATTTAATTATATTTTGACAAATCAATCCATCTTTTACTGACATATAATAAATAACAGGCTGAGAACTTAACACATTGTACAGAAAAAAAAAGAAATAATTAAATAACAGAAACTGTACCTTCATTTACTCCTGTTTGCTTCTCGGCATGACTTTCAATGTCCTTTGAAAACCATTCATTAAATTCATCATGACTATCAAATAGTGTTGGCATGATGAAATGGAGCAAAGCCCAAAGCTATGAAAATAAAATTCAATCAAATTATAATTTTAAAATTTTACATAAATATTTTGTGGAATATATAGCTTTGATTAACACTATCTAATTTTATGTAAAAAATATCTGTGATATAGTCATATATGGGTATGATTATGACATCATTATTTCCATACATGAGCTTATCACGCGCTTTTCTTCACCTAAAATTTGATAGCATATACAGAGGTTTAGATAGAGATGCATTTTCTTCATCAGGATTTGAACCCTGACCTATCATGTGATAGGCTTGACAACTGAG